GCAACTTTAGCGAGCTATTTATTTCCTTGAATAAAACCATAAACAGTTCCCAACAGAAAAAAGAACCCCACAAACATTCGTGATTACATGTAAAGTTGCATAAGGATTGTATCAATTAGGCAAAATAGAAAAGGAATTACATCAAGAGTGCAGCATGATTTTGCTTGAAAGCCAAAACCAGAAGAGAACACTGAAAGTAATTGGTCCAGAAAGAGGATCAACAAACAGAACAAAGAATACAAAGAACCATGTGGGGAAAACCATATCAAGCGAGGGAGGAAGTACAAGTCAATTCTGTTTACAAACAAAATCATGAGAATCAAGAACCCCAAATGATAATATAGAAACAAAGCCAAATGCAGAAACAAAACTCCATCTAAAATCTGTACCAATCCAAATTAATTACGTACAGAAAAGGAACTCGGGATTCATATCGGAAGTATTTCCCTCCAAGATACGGTGAATGTTAAGCCAAACATCTTCTTCAATGAAACGAAATATTTCGGAAAAGTTGAAATACACAATGTATTATGAACTTGGTGAAGTTGAAGAAGTATAAATACTGAAATTTGTATCAGAGAAGAGAGAGGCTATGTATCTGGTGTTCCCTCTCCGGCTATCATGTGCTTGCTCGAGCAATAGCTTTGGGCACTCGGTTTGTTTCAACAATCGATAGCTACAAAAATTCGTAATGTGCAACACATGCTATTAAGCTGCTATACAAATGGTCAATGGTTACCAAAACATTCACATTACTGTCACCAACAATAGTATCCATCAACATCCAGTGAATCTCATAAAAACAATAACGGCATAAGTCATAACTCAACAGAGGTATATCAATAGCCAGGAAAACGTAGCTCCAACAAGCAGCACCAAGGTAATCAAGCTCAAGGCAGAAGTCCATAACCTCCACATCATACAAACTTAACAACAACAACAAAATCAAGCACTAGATCTACTAAATTTGTCTCCTACAGGTAGATCAAACAGCATATACTACACCAAACAGAACAAAACTGTGCTCATCAAAGGAGTGGAAAAACAGATCTTACCGAAAACAGTGTTGGTCGGAATCATAGCAACCTGGTCCTTCGCAGCTTCACCGATGAGCCTCTCGGTGTCCGGGAGCCAGACATAGGACGGCGTGGTCCTGTTGGCCTGGTCATCGGCGATGATCTCGACACGGTAGTGCTGCCTCACGCCGACGCACGATTAAATAATTTACTTGTCACAATTTTCTCGAAAATTACATGTGTTTCGGAATTTATTACCTATGAGATTTTAATTATTAAACTAAAAAGTATTTAAAAAACTTATGTCAAGCATTTTATTATATAAAATCGACATTTCATCAAAAGCAATATTTAAAAAGTTTTCAATTGTTAAATTAAAATTCAGCTCCGCTCCGCTCGTTAAAGCACGAGTTCAAGTCGACTCATTTGATAAATGAGTCGAGCTCAAACTCTTTTAAAACTCGTTAATTACCAAGTTGAGCTTCAAAAAGAGAATTTTATATAATTTACTACCGTTCAACTTGTTAAAACACGAGCGACTCATTTGATAAATGAGTCGAGCTCAAACTCTTTTAAAGCTCGTTGGTTAACAAATTGAGCTTCAAAATTAGAATTTTTATATAATTTGATACCGTTCAACTTGTTAAAACACAAGATCTACTCGTTCTCGTTAAGGCCCGAACCTGACTAGTTATGAATGATAAATGAGCCAAGCTTGAGCCCGGTTCTAAGATCATTTATTTAGCGAGCGTTAAGAGCTCAAGCCCTCTCGTTTACATGACCACCAGTAATACCTCTGACCGAACTGTATTTAAAACAGTGATTTAAGCTTGAACTTCTAACCTTGTACCATTTCATGTGGAGAAGGTCATGCTACCATAATTGCTTGTTTTGTGATGATCAATTATTTTAAATTTTCATTTTTATTGACTTGTAATCATCATTATTTTTTTAATGTTAACTCAGGAAGCTCGTTCAGTTATCAGACAATTCATGTGAAGCACTACATGAATACCCACTGCAGTTGTTCCTTCACGATCAATTGGCTTCACCTTTGTCGAAAACAATCTACAGAAAACATCGATTTCCACTCAACCATATCGACTTTCTTCGGCATTCTCAGATTCACAAACGGCACAGACAATTAGCTAGTTTAGAATATCATTAACATGGACTCAGAAAATGGATACCATAAATGCAACTGATAAACCTCACAACAAGAAGAAATCAAGATCTAACAAAGAACAAACCCAACCCTACCTCATAAACCTAATCCACCAAAACAGAAGATTTAAAAGCCATAAACTTGGATTTTATACAAGACAAATCCAAAACCCTAACACCTCAACCACCAAAGCCATACAAGGTACGCCCCTGCCTCTTCAAAGCATAGACAACATCCATGGCCGTCACAGTTTTCCGGCGAGCATGCTCGGTGTAGGTGACCGCATCACGGATCACGTTCTCCAGGAAGATCTTCAGCACGCCGCGAGTCTCCTCGTAGATGAGCCCGCTGATACGCTTGACGCCGCCCCTACGGGCCAGACGGCGGATCGCCGGCTTCGTGATGCCCTGAATGTTGTCCCTGAGCACCTTACGGTGGCGTTTGGCGCCGCCCTTGCCCAAGCCCTTGCCTCCTTTGCCGCGACCAGACATTTTTTCGCAGTTTGGAGAGAGAGAGAGAGAGAGAGCTTTGATTTTGGTGGAATTGAAAGGGAAAGATATGATATTGATGACTGAATCGTGGGAATCTGTGGGTGTTATATAGTGGGCGGTTATGGTGTGGGAAATGATGAGAGCCGTTGGATGTGGGAGTTATGGGACGGTGAGGATGGCGATCCGCGTTGATTGAGTTAAGTAGTTCTCAGCCGTGGATAAGAGATAGATCGACGGTAGGGAATGTGATAATGAGTAGTGCGCGAGGATTGTGGTTTTTTGTGTGTGGGTGAAGAAAAAAGGGGGGGAAAGTTTTTTCATTGGAAAATTCGCAATTTTCACCCAAAATCCAAAGTATTGGCGGTTGAAGTGAAACCAAATCAAATCAAATCAAATCAAATGTACTTGAAATTCGTCTTTTTCTAGTTTGATTTTGAATATTTGAAGGAAATACATTATTTATTTGTAACTTTGAATTTATAATTTGACTATAAATAGTATTTTTTTTATTCAAAATGTATATGAATTTAATTTTAAAATCAAAATGATTAACTATTTATTTCCTTAATATAACTATATAGTGTTATAAAAAAGGGATTAGTGGGGCGGTGCATCTCAACCACATGCCCACCGCCCCAATCATATGTCTACTAGTATTTAAAAAAAAAAAAAAAAANNAAAAAAAAAAAATATTTTTTATTAGGCAATTTGCCTAATTTTAGCAGCTTCCTTCCGCTATAAAAAGGCCATTCGGCCAGAAGGAAAAGCGTACCAATTAGTGAAATAAAAAGAGGAAAAAGGAAAAGAGAAAGGAAAGAAAGATAGATATATGTCCAAATATCGGACATAAAAATATCAAAAGAGGAGAAACAAGTGATATTTTTATTTGTTTTATGATATATCTTTTTTATTTTTAGTGCTCAATTCTCAACTCCGTTAAAGTTCGCCGGTGCTCGTAAATCTGGTGTGCTACAGATTTAGAGACGTTTGCCGTTGTATCTTTGGGGAAGTTACGCCTTAACCGTTAGCAGCCACACGGGGCGTATTCTTCTTGCGGAAAGAGTTTTTACTCGCCTCGGCTAAAATCTTTCCGTTTTTCAGTTGTATTTTATTTTTCTGTTCAATTGTAATTTTCTATTTTTAGATTATTTGTAAGAACTGAAAATACACATCAGTTCGTAGGATTCCCGTGTAATTTTGACACCAAATATCCAACATATAGAAATTCAATATATTATAAATAAATTCATTCATATAAATGCTAGTATTGGTACATGCATTGCACGAGTGTTAATTAAAAGTAATATCTACAAATTAATAAAAAAATTGAAAGTTTTTACTTCAAAAATTTAAATGCTTCTTGAAAATGCTATTTTTTTTTATTTAATTTGTATTTATGAATATATAAATATATATATATGTTCGTGAGAAGACGGTTAATACCTTATAATCGGTAAGAAGACCAAAGTTTTCCCACAAATAGTGTCAATTTGTTGCGTCGATCTTGGTCATGAATAGGGTTGGACCTCCTACGCCTTGAATCGCTTCGTCTTTGAGACTCGGTGACCTGCAATATGCCGGAAGTGTGTCCCGATAAAAAACCCCCCGACGCTCAATTCAGAACTTGCTCAACAAAAATATATATAAATATGTAACTTAGGGTGTAGAAAAACCTGATAACCTTATATAAGATAGCTATTTTGATGTCCAAAATAATCCTTGGTAGGAAAAATATATCACCATATAACATTGTATAACTTACCACGTCTATATCTTTAGAAGTCCTTTGAGAAAGTTATTTTCTTTCTCACTATGATTCTTTCCCCAATACTATGCGGCTCTTAGGTCCGTAGGCCATAACCACGACTTCATAACTTAATTACCGCGACTTAACCAAGGTCGAATCTGACCTCATCTTGAGGTCTGACCTAGCCTCAGGTCTTACGACCTCGATACCTCGAGGTAAGCTTTATTACCGAGCTCCTAGAGGTCGGTATCTCTAGGTTGTCAGTTTTAGGTAAACCAGTACCTTAAGCTTGAGTACGAGTTCTTTGGTTGGATTACTTATTTTCGGACAAACCAGAGTTCTTCTAGACTGGTATAGCCGAACTATTTACTATAATCGGGATGTCGAGCTATTATGATTCTACATTAGTTTCAAAAAGTTTCAACTGAATACACTATAGTTCACATTCAAAACCTCCTCGGCGAAAAATCCCCAAATCGCAAACTTTTGAACCCTAATTATTGCCTTCTTACCGTCATGTGTTCCGCTCCACTATAAAGATGACCGACACCGGGGAGGCCTTCGTCATTTTCGTATATGTTCGGTCTGCCTTACCAGCGTCGTTCTTTTCCTTTCCACGGGTGGTTGTAGTTGGCCTTTTGGATGACTCGGCGACGGTGAGGATGTGGTGGCTAGCGCTAATCGCCTTGTTCGGGGCTAAGGTCAACACCTTTGTTTTTTTTCTTGCGTCATGTCTTCCCTAAGGTTGAGAACGTGGGGTTCCTAGCAAGGACTTTTTTAGTCTCAGGATTAAATTAGCCGTTGTCGCTGGGGTTTGTGGTGAGGAGGTGTTAAGTGTTGGCCTCCGAATGTTGTTTTGGTGGGAGATCTAGTTAATCATCGCCGTGTTTTTTCAAGTTCCTATATTTGTATTATGGGCCATGGTCCTATCTTTCTAGGGGGGTCGCCTTTTCGGCTGTTGGGAGTAGCTTTATTATATCTTATGTTTATCTAGTTTTTAAGGTCTATGTTTGTTTTGTGTGCGTTTGTTGTTGTTGTGTTGTTGTATTATCCTTTGTAGGAACTCATAACCTCTACATTTGGAGTATTTATAGTTTTGCGAATTGTGTTTGTGTTAGTCTTGTTAGATATAAACTACATTTGTCTAGTTCTCCTACTAGATTCAATGGTGTAGTTGTTTAACTGACTGTTACTAATTGTTTTATAAACTGTAAAAATGTGTGATATTATAAAATATATTGTTTAAAAGAAAATTTATTAGAGTTATAAAAATTTTAAAAGTTTTAATTGAGTATATTCTCTTTAATTCGTCCATTATTTAACGTTTTTGGCAATGTATAAACAATGCATGTTTCAATGTTTTATGAATTAAATAAACTTATAAATGTTTATTTCATTAAAACGTGACTAGTATTTGATCATGTGAGCATGCATAAATACAAAAAAAAAAA